CTAAAGCAATTGAGGGGGAAACAAGTATCTAGCCAAACCACTATTGCTTATGCACTGGTACTGCAAATCCAGCCTGGGAAGTAAAGGTTAACTACTTGCCTGCAAGACTGGGTAGGGTCCTTCAGTAACACTGGTACTCAAACAAGAAAGTAAAAAAGAGAGCCAATTTGTAACAGGGAAAATATCCTTGTTTATCCATCTCCATTTGGTGAAATCGTTATGGAAGGAAATGATGCCTTTAAGAGGGTGTTTAAAAACTGGACTGTATAAAATACTTCAATACATAGCATGTTTCTGAACCAGAAGAGGGATTGCGCTACAGTGCGTTAGTTTTATCTGTTTTGACAGCATTCATCTCTGTACCTTGACAAAAGTGAAATGACTCCCCAAAAAAAAACCCCTACTCCACAAATAAGGGGTTTCATGCTGTTTTTTCAGAGCCTGGGGAGATCTATCAGTGCTCTTGCTGCTGCTGTGCTAATTGGCTTTCTCATGTTTGTCATGCGTGTGCTTGCCCGAAGATTTAATGAAAAGCAGCCATGTATTCAGATTACTAACCTTAGGTGATGGATTTTTGGCAACAAAGGGCCCTCATCTCCTCATACACATGAATAGCATGTATGTGCACAGACCTACGTACATGAAGCTCAAGATGGCTAAAAGAATGAAAGAACTTGCAGGTGCTGCTCATAGAGAATCTGAACATTGTTTGATGTATCTTATTTCCATCCAGGACTCAGCTTCACTTTCTGTTTTGGAAAAGCTTTATTGCATAATTAAATGTTAACACATTATGCAAGGTTTTAGCTTTTCATATTGAATGCTAAATCTTACATCAGGATTTATTATACATTCTCCCTCTCCCTCATTTATATAGCTGTTTAATATTTTAGCTGAACCTCAGCTGAAGTTTAATACATTCCTACTTCTATGGGTAGTTTTTCAACTTGCAGCATGGTCAATTGATAAGTTTAACACCAGTGAGAATATAAATATGTAATTTCCCTGTACATCAAGACAGAATTCAAAGCTATGGAGATGGTAAAGGCCAGATTTAAAGCCTGTCTAGTGAAGGAACATTTTAAATAGAGGCTGTCTTATTCTAGAAGCTGTCAATGTGCAAAGAAGAAAAAAAAAATCTGAATATTGGAATTGGGGTGGGTGGAATTCTCCCATTTAAAACATGAAAAATTATTTAATCAAGGGCCCAGTCTCACCATGTTGGCACACCCAAAGTTCCTCTTGAAGTAGGATTTGAGTCCTTGTTTACTTGTTGCAGCTATGCTGACTTTTTAGTGCCCAGAGGCCCCAATCAAAACTGAAGCCCCACTCTGGAAAGGTGCTAACACAAAGTAAAAGATAATCCCTGGCCCCAAAGAGCTTTCAGTCAATAGTATTGCAATCAATTTAGTCAAAACTTGTATTTTGTAATTATTTAACAAATAAATCTGACTTGCTAGCACAGTTGGAAATGTAAAATGGCTACATATTTTCTTTATATTAAAACTACTTTAATTTATTGGATACATTATTTCCATAATATTTTGTTGATAAAATAAACAATACTTTTGTTTAAAAAATTGCTATACTCATGGATTTATTTATTTTATTTTATTGGTACAAACAACTGACCTGCATTTGTAAATAGATGTGTGTTTACATGTACCACTTGAGATGGTTCCAATTCTCTCTTCACCTCACAGATAGGGAATTAGTCAAGTTGCTTCTTTGGTGCCTGAGCCTTGGTACTAAAGCTGTTCTTTGCTCCTGGCACTTTCTTTCCTGAGGTCAGAATTCATTTGCGCTGTCTGAGTCACCCGTCAATAACTTCTTCAGTTGAGAGATCCATTTCAGATTCTCATAAGCAAAAGAATACTTATTTTAAAGTTTATGGGAATAGAGCGCAAACAACAAAATAAAAGTAAAAATAGTTGATGCTCCACATTCCAAACCTAAAAAGAAATAGAAATATTTTTGTGGGTATATTTTGTTTTGACTGCTTTATGAAAGCTCTTCCTCTTTTTCCCCCCTCCAAAGCAGTTTTCCTGAAAGCTCTAGAATTTTTTTTTAATTACATTATTTAAACACATGTTTTTAGTAAGGCATTTGCAACGTGTGTAGTTGTATAAAGTTGACAAAATTGTTGACAGTCAATTACTGCCATTAATGATCATTGGTTGTCATTTTCTTTAAATGGTAATATTAAATTTATGCTCTTTAATTGGGAGCATGCACTTTACGTTCTGATTGTATGTAACCTTATGGCTACTTCTAAATTGATTTGATTGAAGCTCCTTACAGAAGTATAAAATTTAATTTATTTTTACCCAATGTCAGTTTTCTGCTGATCTTTTCACCTTAATAGTTTTTATTTAACTTGGTCTGTTAAACAAATATAATGCAGTAGTTTCTGTCATTGCTCTGACTGATTACATTCAAATTGCTTTGCTGATAACAGAATCATGTTATGAGCCCATTCCCGCAAGTCTTCTATGCGTGAAGCTCCCATTTATGTCTGAGTTCTCATCTTGGAGGACTTGCAGAATCAGAGTTTTTATTTGAATTACTGAAACATAAAACTTGCTTCATTCCACACAATTTTTACACTTTTGAAAAGAGTAAATGAAACTTTCACATTATTTCCATGGAAGAGGTTTTTGATTACCTTGAGGTATGTTTTAAATCTTTGGCTGATAACAGCTGCTGCGATGCCCTGGCAGCACTCAGGCTTGAGTCCAGTGTGGACCTTCATCCTGTGTGTTGGTTCCCGATCCCCTGTTTGTTGCCTTACGTACAGTAGAACCTCAGAGTTACAAACACCTCGGGAATGGAGGTTGGTCGTAGCTCTGAAATGTCTAACTCTGAACAAAACGTTATGGTTGTTTCAAAAGTTTACAACTGAACATTGACTTAATACAGTTTTGAAACTTTACTCTGACATGCCAAACCCATGAATAAAATGCAGAAATTGGGTTTGTTTTTGGATTAATTGGCTTGTTGCTTGTTGGCTAGTTTTTGGCTTGTTGGCTAGTTTTTGGCTTGTTGCTTGTTGGCTAGTTTTTGGCTTGTAGCTTATTGTTGCGGTTTTTTTTTTTTTATTATTTGCTCTTGGCAAGCAGGGGCAAAGGGCAAGCAGGGGCAAGGGTGGGAGAGAGTCAGGGGTGCACAGCGGGCCCACCACAGTCCCAGACTGCGCACTGGGGGGGGATCTAGTCACATAGTGTGTTGGGGTTCTTAGGGATTGGCTTGATTTGGCCTTGTTTTGAAATGGGATTAGCTTGATTTTTGGCTTATTGTGAAAGTCGGGATGCCTGTTTACCGCATGAAAGTTGGCAACTGTGTTTACTATGCAGAAGAAAAATGCTGCTTTTAACCATCTTAATTTAAATTTAACAAGCACAGAAGCAGTTTCCTTACCATGTCAAATCTTTTTTTAAACTTTCCGTTTATTTTTTTTTTAGTAGTTTACATTTAACACAGTATCGTAATTGCATTTTGTTTTGTTTTTTTTTTGATCTCTGCTGCTGCCTGATTGCGTACTTCCAGTTCCAAATGAGGTCTGTGGTTGACCAGTCAGTTCGTAACTCTGGTGTTTGTAACTCTGAGGTTCTACTGTACCTCAGACCCACTTAACCTCATCTTTTCTGTTTCCAGGGAAACAGCCCCTGTACCCTAAAATCACCAGCCAGATACAAACTGTAGTTGCATTTTAACAAGCCTATTATTAGGCTTAAAGAATATAATGGACTCAATTGTACTGTGTTGTACAGGTGTATCTCCACTGACTTCAGTGGTATTGCACCAATGTATCTGAGAGCAGAATTTATTTCATTTTCCTTTCAATGTATATGCAGTGCAGTGCTCCAGAGATACATGGAAAGACTTCACTCCTATCTGTACTGGGTAAGATGTCTGAGTGAGTGAGTCATATACTGTATCCCATATGGTCATAAATATTATCTATGCAGCACTCTTCTCCCTCCGTCCCCTGCATTGAGAAATGGAGGAAGATTTTTAAAAAAACTCTGTAGGATTCCATGCTTATATCAGTGGCACCATATTGAACTTTTTAACTTTGCAAGTGTAAGAAAATTCTTTCCTGTCAGCCCTCTAAACTCAACATGGAATCTGAAAGTTGCATCTTTACGAGTAATAAAAATGCTGCCTCTGATTTATATCTGTGCAAATCCACTGGAGGCAATGGGGTTTCACAGATATGATAGAAGGCAGAATGTATTTATATATGGAAATGAGATGTGACATTTATCATGTACCTGTGTATCTCATTCCTGTGACCACCTCATGTGCTATTTATCCATCAAGCCAAAATTATTCTAAGATTTCAAATTTTTCAGCAGCTTCCAACAGTCAACTTACATTTCTATTCAGATTTAATTTAAAATATATCCTGCTTTCTCCAAATGTGAAATTGTATCTATTGATTTATTATTTGTTTTTATCTAGACAGTTCTTGCCTCAAGGAGCTCTGTTGCTCTTTTTTTCCTTTTTTGTGAAGTACTAAGCGCACAGTTAAACTTCAGCGAATAATAATGAAATACATATTTTTAACATTTTTCCTTTCAGTTTGCAGACACTTGCATAAGTGACATCTTTGCTTGACCATACCTGTTAGTAATAGATATCCAGTGGTTCAATTTATTCCGAATATTTTCTTGATAATGTAGCTGACTATTTCTTACTAAATGGTAATAATACAGTCATCTGGCTGGCTGTAGACAACAAAGGAATTGAACCAGTCCTCATGGAGTACATCCACTGGAGGAGATGATGGGGACTCACTGATATAGTGGAAGTACATGGTATAACATGGAATACATATTCTGTTTCAAGAATTTGTATATATGTACTACGTTCAGTGGTATTAACATCACACCAGGGAATTTGTAATTTATCTCCAACTGAAATATCTGGCATGGTGATATATGTTAATCTGTAATAGTTCTTAGTGCAGTTGTAATTTTTTCTTTTATTCCCACCAGATCTTGATCATCTTGGACTATAATCTCCATGGCGTGAAAATCTGAAGATATTCCGGAGTAAAAGATTGGTTTATTTAAAGTGACTATTGTATCAAAATGGTTGGAAAACTCAAACAAAACTTGTTATTGGCATGTCTGGTGATCAGCTCAGTGACAGTGTTTTATTTGGGGCAACATGCTATGGAATGTCACCACAGAATAGAAGAACGCAGCCAGCCAGTGAGGATGGAAAGTGGGAGAACCACAATAAGAACTGTCTTTAACTTAAAAGCAAATAAAACCTTTGCTTACAATAAAGACATGCCTTTAATATTTATTGGAGGGGTGCCTCGAAGTGGCACTACACTAATGCGTGCCATGCTAGATGCTCACCCCGATATCCGTTGTGGAGAAGAGACTAGGGTAATCCCTCGAATTCTGGCAGTTAAGCAGATGTGGGCCAGATCAAGTAAAGAGAAAATCAGACTGGATGAAGCTGGGGTGACAGATGAAGTTCTGGACTCAGCCATGCAAGCCTTTTTATTGGAAATCATTGTTAAACACGGGGAACCTGCTCCCTATTTGTGTAATAAAGATCCTTTTGCTCTGAAGTCCTTAACTTATCTTGCCAGAATTTTCCCCAATGCCAAATTTCTTTTAATGGTACGGGATGGTCGTGCATCGGTGCATTCCATGATATCTAGAAAAGTCACCATAGCTGGGTTTGACCTTAACAGCTACAGGGACTGTTTGACCAAATGGAATCGTGCTATAGAGACTATGTATAACCAGTGTATGGAGGTTGGTTTTGAAAGATGCATGCTGGTACACTATGAACAACTTGTATTGCATCCTGAAAGGTGGATGAGAAATCTATTAAAGTTTCTCCACATTCCATGGAACCAAGCAGTGCTACACCATGAGGAAATGATTGGGAAAGCAGGTGGTGTCTCTCTTTCAAAGTGAGTACAAGTGTTTCTTGGTGTCTTGTATCGATCTAAACTTCACTGTTTAGACATGGTTTGCATTTTGATGCCAAGTATAATTACAGGCTATTGTAGAAATACAAGTGTTGACAAGTCTCAGCAGTAGTGTATTTTCTTTAATCACTTTTCACTATGGCCATTTTAATGTTCCTGTAGATAAAGACCAGAATACTCTGCAGCAAGTCGGATTTAAATTCTGCAACAAAGCTCTGTGTCACCAGAGTGGCTGACGTGAAATTTTGCAGCAGCTTCATTTGAATTGAAGGGTTTTATTGGATTATATAGGAAATGAAATAACCAGTACAATAGCCCTTCTAGTCTTCTAATTTTGACATTAAATTCAATTTTTTTCATTCTCCTCACACTTTGTGTGCTGCAGCAGATTTTTATATTGAAAATGCATACTTATCTTGTAGAAGATATCAAGGAAAGTTGTAGGTTTTTGCATCTGGGTAAGGGGCAGTTTGAGCTTTTAACCCCCAATAAGGTGTTGGAAGTAGTTTGGGATTGTGAGATAAGCATGCTGGATGTTTCTTCTAAATATGGTGACCAGATGTCCTGATTTTATAGGGACAGTCCTGATATTTGGGGCTTTTTCTTATATAGGTGCCAGTCACCCCCCACCCCGTCCCGATTTTTCACACTTGCTATCTGGTCACCCTACTTCTAAAGGTCCCATCACCACTACCAGTACAATCATGGTTTTTGTAACCAGTTGGTGACTTGACATGTTAAAACAAACACAGAATAGTTTGCACAGCAGTATCATTGTGTCATAGCTGTAGCTAACTGTATATTTGCACCTGCCATATTGCCTAACCGTGTTTGTATTAATGCATTCTGGGAAAATGTAGGGAGCTACCCTGTTATCCTATACCTCAGTAAGGAATATAGGGTATCTGAACAACAGCACTGAGTGGAACCAGTGCACGTAGGTCAATACACTCTGGAATATCTTCCTTTCAGCTCCCTGTGCACTAAGTAGGACTGGACACTGGATTACTTAAGCACAGTTACGGGGTTCCCATCTCCACTATAAAATGTGCTGAACTGTTCACAAGAAGCAATTGTGACTGTCTAGGCCTCTGGCAGTGGCAAAACACACTACAAGATGCCACATTTGCTAATAGAGTATTTATCATAGTTAATGTGAACACAAACCATGTATAGAGCAAAGAAGGCATTAACTGGTTACAAACTCAGTTAAGAATTAAGTGGACAGGCTAAACTGATCAGCAAGTGGGTCTTAACAGTGGGTTACAGCTAAATTATTTAGATTTCAGAATTCATCTCCTCGGATGACTGAAGCAGTTCACATCTCAGAACTATTGTTAAGGCTATCTTCAGTTTGGGAAGATCATGTATCAGTTTAGATTTCATTTTCATAATTTTAAATATTTGGATAAAACCTGATGATGAGCTATGATTACCTAGGTGTAAAATCCATTTTTGCATAGGATTAAAGATAATGCCTATCTTATTGACAGTATATACATTTTTTAAGAGATTAGTTGTATCTAGGGTTCAATCTTAAATGGTTTAGTAATTCCTCAGGAAGCTGAGTCCTAATGTAGAGTGTCTCAAAGGGTTTGTGTACACTAGAGGTTTTTTTACCTCAGGTTCATGGATTGTAAATCAGCTTGAGTTATAATCTTTCAGGAAATTTGAGGAACTGCTGTTCCAGTGAAGTAGGACCCAGAATTGGCATACTTTTTCTTTTGGCACAGCCTTCTGAGAGGGTTAGTATTTTGAATATAAGAAACCCGTTGTAGACCAATCTTTTACTAATTGTCTTTCATGCACACTGTGCATTTGACTTCCTGAGTAGAGCTGGGTGAAGTATCCGGGTTTTGATATTCTTGAGGGAGCTTAAACGATTTAGTCTTTCCTATGATGTCTAACTTACTCTTCACTGACCAGCTCTTTTGGTGTGTCTACCCATATGTGTAGCTGGAGTTTGAGAGAAGTGGAAACTCATTATTCGTAATACAGAAAAGTCTTTTTCTCTCCTCTCCCTCCTCTTCCTAAGCACAGTTCTTTCAATATGTGAATCATGTCTTTCTTGCTTTCCTGATATTGCAAAGCTTTTACTGTATTATGTCATCTCTATTAGACTGCCAGAGGGACAATAGTTACTTTTTATATTAAAAAGTGATGTCCTAGCTGTGGGATGTGCTCAGTTAAATTTCTTGGCCACAATGTGTGACTGTCTGTCTGTGCTCAAGTACTCTTACAGTAGAAGAAAGAAAGACGAAAGCTCCTCTCACAGTGAGTAGGAACACTACTTTTTTCAGCTGATTCAAATAAACTAGTAAGATTAACTGAACAGTGGAGAGGATAAATGCTAAACCTAAACAATTGGGTAAGCCAACAGGCAAAATCCTCCCATTTACACTGATTAATTCTTCAAAAACCTAAAGCCAAGTGATTTTATATTAAAAATTGGAAACCAGCTATGAATGGCTACTTGTTAGATCCCTAAGGCAGTATTTAGTTCAGAGTGGGTTTTAAAGACTTCATATTGATTTCTGGCATCCCCGGTATATCAGGGTACTGATGCTGCTGTAGTGGAAATGGTTGCCTTTGTGGCAAGTGAAGATTTAATGCAAAGAAACTCACTCTTCTGTGCCACTGTCCATATGTTTGATTGTCCTCATTAATGAACATTTTATATTGTGGTAGTGTCTCAGGTCCAATTTGCTTGTGGTCTTTATTGTGCTAAGTGCTGTACAGACATAATCAATGACAGCCTGTGGCCCAGATTGCTTACAGTCTAAAAGGTTGGATAATACTTTTTTTTTAAATATAAGAGCAGAGATATTTTGACATGAACCCTTTTATTTATTAAAAAGGGTTATCATGTTGATTGGAAAGATGGCTATACAAGTATGCAAAAGCCCTGTTGGTCTGAGGAATAAGCTAGATATGGGAAGTGGCAATGGGATGCTTTGGGGAACAGGCCATAAAAAAATGCAATGGTAAACTTACACTACCATTGAACTAATGGTTTGAGTCACTGGATGATGGAAACCAGTGGTCCAAAAAATGGACGATAATGAACTGGGAAGTCCTCCTCACATAATACACTGGTTCAGAAACAGGGATTGGGAAAGATGAGATTGGTACCTAAGTGCCTCATAAGTATTTAGAAATAGAAAACAGACAGCTTTCTAATGAGTCCCTGCTTATGTTGGAACCGTGGGAAGTAATTGGATTTTTCAGGTCTGCCTCTGTTTATTCTGATACGCTATAATGCCTTTGAGTCAACAGTAAGTTGCCTGAGTCACAAAAACTAACAAACCATCAGAACACTGGCGTCTTCAAGGCTGTTAGTCTCCACAGTGTTAATTTTACTATAAGGTAGTCATTATATTTTCTGATGGAATAATATTTTTTAAATTGGACACTCCTAAAAAACGTGGGAGGATCCAAATCAGTTTTATATGCAATATCACTTCAGTGTGCTGTGCAGGGATTGATTACTACTTATTAATGTAAGAGTTCTGACTTCTCTATCTCCCTTGCACTGATTTATTTAAAAAACAAAAAGGGCTCCGGTGTGGCTTTTATTGCTAGTTTTGTTTTTGGGAGTAGTACTATGCCTCTTCACCCTGTTTCTTATGAAGTATTTATACTTTATCACTTGATGATTACCTGTTCTGTTCATTCCCTCTGGGGTACCTGGCATTGGCCACTGTCGGAAGACAGCATACTGGGCTAGATGGACCTTTGGTCTGACCCAGTTTGGCTGTTCTTGTGTACCAACATTTATTGAGCGTTTGCTCAGAGGGGTGTAGTTAATGCAAACATTTAATGTGTAACTTCAAACATTTGCATGGGTGTTCTCCCTTCTCACACCTCTCCACAAGGGATTGTGAATTATGTACATATTTGTAATAGGTTGAGCTGGTGCAGATGTCAAAATGCTGCCAGAACACACAAGTAGACTGCCACCTGTGACTTTGCCTGAAGTAATAAACCGCACCTAGCCTTTCGGGCAATGGCAGGGTGGGACCAGCTCCCTGTAGCTAATCACTAATTCTTCAGATAACTTCCCTCTCTACTAGATCACTAGTTCAAAATAAAATTATTAAATTATTTTAATGTATAAAATACAATTTAAAAACCCTGGATCCCCAACCAAGCAGTCTACAATATTAAACTCCAAACAGTTTATTGGTCAATGTTTTTCCCCAAAACTAAATTATCAATCTTATCTGATGCGATATTTGATCCCGTTTACTCATGTCATTGGTTGTGCCATTTGAAGGTAGTTGAAACAATAAACACATCATAAAAAGTAAGTTAATCTGAGTCTTGTTCACTTAAATAAAGTAAAACAAGTCAATACAGTTCTGTTGGCCATTTGCAATTGTATTTAGTTTTATGGGCTTTTTTCCTGTACACTGAAATACTGAGTACAATAAATTGTGATCTTTCCCTTGGCATATCTTCCATTATAATTGTTGTAGTATAACTGCTTTCTCAAGTGTTTGATTTCATTCAGTATTAACATTACCTACTATCTCTCATTTTAAAATTTTTTGGTCAGTGCAGTGATGTAAATATCGGGCACGTGTTCTCTGTAGCAGGCTTTTCTGATGTTGGTACCTAGGTAGCGTAACTGAGATTACCCTTCTATTCTGTATAAGGAGGAGTTTCTGATCCTTCACAGAATGAGGCTGTATGCACAAATGGAACCCCACTATTACTTCAGTTCTGCCATATATTTCAAACCGTTGTCTGGTAATGCTCTAGAATATAGTAGTTTCCTTGATTGATTCTGTTGTATCTGTAAATACGTTTGTGCTTTTTCTCCTTTGTCTTATCTTCTAGCTATTATTCAGCAGCCCCGTTATCTTATTCATAAAGCATCACATCCAGTAATGACTAACCATCTGTTCCTAAAAAAATGACCAATGGATTATGTTAGTAGTGAACAAACCGATCAAACTTCAATATCTTTGTGCATTGAGTGGTCTTTTACTGGAATATTTTCTTGGCCAGAACAACACAGATGGAACTGGTAACATGTGGTCTTGATTATTACAAAGGCTTTCGTATGGCCTCTTTAACAGTTGTTTTCCTCATAAGTCAAAGTTAGTATGTCATGGTTTGATATACTTTTTTTATTACAACATTGTGTTATGTACTGTTAAACCTTTTTTGCTTATCAGGATATTTCACAGTATGTACCGCTGCACTAAAATTGAGTGCATGGTGGGGTTGTAAATTGGCAGTAATTAACTTTTGTTCCACTTAAGAACTGGCTCAAAACCAAATTGTTAGTATTAGATAATTGTTCTGGAATTATAACTGAATTGCAAAATCTTGCACACTCTATCTCCTTATCCTAAACCTTCTGATTGAGTTGGAGTAAATCAGTGTATCATAGCTGCCTGTATATCAGCAAATTATGTTTACTGTCGTGGCCTTCGGATTTTAGGTTTCCATTTCATTCTGTTACTTCACTAACATTGCTTCTTAATTGTGGGATCCAAAAAGTCCCATATTTCTGCTGATAAAAAGGAAGCTAACACGAGCTTTAAGTTGGGAGGGAGGCTCCCAATCTGCAGGCAGGAGCATGAGGCGGTACAGAGCACTCATGCACTCTCGATGCCATTATTCAAGACTCCAATTGCACATGCATGAGGCACATGCATATCTGCAGTGCAATGTACACCAACATCGTGTTAAAGAACCAGTTACTGAAGGATAAGTAACAGTTATGTATTGAAGGAGACTATGGCGTTGTCTACATGGTGCGGGAGTGTGCACCAGTGAGGCTCTTCTTGCTAGAGCAGGCTTTCTTCGGGTGCACGGAGAGACTGCTCAGAAGCTGACGTAGCCTCTTCATTGATGTTGTGACTTCCTCTTTCTCAGGTGATCAGTCTTGGAGTTCTGGAGCTTCAGTATTCCCTTAGGGGGGTTTTCAACCCGAAAGCCAAACCTTCTCGCCCATATCCTTGATTCCTATAGCTTGTGAACTTCGCTTACTGAGCCTTGTAGCATCTCTCTCCAAGATCTTTGGAAAAGTCAGGTGCAATGCCTACCACGGAGCCATGTAACCATGTCCAATCAGGTTAGAATTAAGTCCTTTTTAGCTAGTTGTCAATTCCAGAAAAATCCCATTTAAACAAAGTGTTTGGGGTTTTACGTACCACAGAGACTGAAAGTCCAGGATATCCCCATTCTGTGCCTCGTCACCCCCCCAAAAATCAGAAATTGGACACAAAGCCACTTTGAGGAAGAGGGTGCACTTTTGTTTGGGTGAAAAATCTGATGACAGATCATCACTTTACAGAAAGTTCAATTAGCAATTATTCACCCAGCAAAAAAAAATAGGAAATAAATTGGACCTTACGACAAATGTACATTAATCTTCCTGTTTATAGAACTAGGCTACAGTGACATAGGTTATGTCCTGAAACTTCACCATGCTAGAAGGAGCTTACTTTAAAATGTCTGAAGATGAAACTCATGTAAGATTTTCAGTTTTATATAGAGCCTGTATTCTCATGAAGGCTGTTTCTCTCGCACAGATATATTGGTCACTTTCAGATAAGTGCTTTGCAGAATCCTGGGGCAAGGACGTTTTGCCTTCACCTTCTTTTCCCCTCCTAGTTTTTTAGCCGAGTTCAATGCTCCACTCTACTAGTAGTAACTCGGGATAGGAGACACATCTGATTAATATTCTGACTTTTGGTTTTGATTCCACTGTCGCCTTGAGTGGGCAGTGATTATGGGTGTCTTAGTCTTTGTCTGCATTTGCTTAATACTCTTCATTTTCACTCTTCAGTTTCTTATGCTGATACTGCTGGAGCCTCATTATTATTAAGAGAACAGGAATAGCAATTTTATTTCAGTTTGGCTTCTATCTAACTAGTGATAATGTTAAAAGGCCTTTAAAGATGTATATTGCAGGATTTGTAGTAGCACAAAACCTTCTGCGGTTTGAAGTAATAGCCAGCATGGCTGTTTAAGGAATGTATTGTAGTATGTAGTAGTCTAGCCATAAGGAGTATTGTTAATATATCCCTGGCATTTGCCACCTAACTGAAAACAGCTGTGGTGACCACAAATGCAAAGAAATGCCATTCCTTTTTCAATGAGGATTTGGCAAGGTTGTTTTTTTTTTTTTTTTTTTACAAATATTTTTTAGGGTTATTGTGAAAATAGCTAAGTAGGCAGAAATAGTACTGCAATATTCTTTTTTTGCAGATCAATTTTTTTCTTTGTTATTGCCATGCAGAGACAGAAGTGCTTGTGGTTAGCGCTGGATTACATGTCAGCTGTTTCACTGCATTTTTAAAGTAGGACCTGGAACTGCCATCGTGTGTGTGTGTGATCTCCCTCTCTCATTTTCATGACTTCCTGCTCAGATGCTCTAGACTACGGTTCTTTTCCTGGTCTTGTCCTTTTTTTCCTGTGTTAAATATTTTTCTGTGGAGACAGTTTACTTAAGTAAAAACAAATTTGGTACAGTATTTTCTGGGAATTAATGACTGTCTGGGAGGAGCTAGTGTGCTTCTAGCATTAACCCCAGGGTGTTGTTAACTGCCAGGAAATGTTCTATGCTGATGTTGTTGCTGTAAATGATGAAAAAGGCAAGGGGCAGGACATGGATTTTTTTTCTTTTAAGTTTGAAGTGCTGTTTGTTATGTGCAGGGCATTCATTAAGTGCCCTGTATGTTACTTATATTACAATAGCCCTCCGGGGCCTGATCTCTGATTGGGGATCCATCATGGTGTTGAACAAACAATTATTAGCCAATCCGATTTACATAGATCTTATTGCAACGCTTCTTGTTGTTTAGAATCAGAGTTCAAAGACAAATCAATCTTTGCTAATTTTGAGAAGCGCATTTCAGATTTGATCTGTTTTTTTTCCTCAGTCTTTTAAATGTCTGAGAACCTTCAAAAGTGTAATGCTAGTAAAGAGTCAACTTCAGTGGTTGTGCTCATCTTTTGGGTACTGTCCCATCTTTGCAGACTTCTTTTGATGTCATGACGCTTTGTGCTGTATTTGCTTTGCCATCTCAGTCCTCCTAAAATCAATTCTAATGATTCTCTAAGTGGGGAAACTAGTGTACGCTACTCCATTTAAAACTGCAGCAAGGTAGAGGAGGACCAAAACCAACCTGTTTCTCATTGGTATCCCTTTGTGATGGCTTACTTCAAAACTAGAAGGGATTCTCATAGCTTCCACTGAAATCAATAGATACTCATTAGTTTTCACTGTAATCTGTGGGGGTGCTGGGTGTTCAGCATCACTGAAAATCAAACTACTTATTTGGGTGCTTAAGTATGAATTTAGTTTTCTCATTTTTAGGCATGTGCTTTTGAAAACTTTGACCTTGGTCTCCAGAAAATTGGGAATTTTAATAGAATACTTCTCCACACCAGATATCTTCAAAGTCAACTAGCTGCTTATGAATCAGTAATTATAATCATTACCTATGAGGCAAAAACTGTTCGGTCTCTTCTCACAATTATCAGGTTAATTAGATAAGCTCATCATTGTTGTAAAGTGACTGAAGTCAATGAAGTTATGGCACTTTGACCCCCTAGCTTGAAACTACAGGGACTATTCCACCAAATTTCCCTTTATTTTTCTCAGGGGATATCTGCTGTCTTAATTCTGAGTCAGTTACTAATTGCTGAGTCTTACCTGGAATCTCCATGCTTCATTAACTTGCATTGTTTCCTGTTTGTTCTGGTAGAGAGGGGTCTTTTTAATAGAGCAAGAGTTTGGCTACTGTTCTTATGTTTTGGTATTTAAATGTAGACTAGAACTTGGTTTTATGGCTTATGCAGTGATCATGGGCAAATCACTTTGCCGCCTTGTGCCTCAGTTTCCCTGCCTGTAAAGTGGGGAGGATGATAATGATTACTGTCTTTGTAAAGTGCTTTGAGATCTACCGAAAAAAACTTCTGTAACAAGAGCTAGGTATCAGAGCCTAGGTAGAGCCTTTTGTGCTTAAAATGCTTTAAATCAGTAAGTTAGGTACAGGTAGTGCAATGACTGTAGGCAGACATGACAGCTATGTATTTAGCAATAGTTCCCATACATGTTTAGCTATTCAGTTGGAATTGCAGATGTATGATGACATACCATGTGGTATTACTTATGGTACAGGAGTTAAATATCCCCCCAGGGACTTTTTGTGCCAAGGTTTTGATTTTAACCTGTTTTCACAGAAAAAAGATGAATACTAACATCTAAGGAGCTTCAGAGTAGCAGCTGTGTTAGTCTGTATCCGCAAAAAGAACAGGAGTACTTGTGGCACCTTAGAGACCAACAAATTTATTTGAGCATAAGCTTTTGTGTTCCATTCTATGGATCCGATGTAGTGGGCTGTAGCCCACGGAAGCTTATGCTCAAATAAATTTGTTAGTCTCTAAGGTGCCACAAGTACTCCTGTTCTTTTTATCTAAGGAGCTGTGTACTTTTCTAATTGGGGAGAAAGTTTGGAAAATGAATCAAAGTATTTTACTTCATGGTAGAATCTAGAACTATTCAGTCTGTGCTGCAGACCGTATATTAAATAGCTGGGAGTCAGCATTTTATTAGCACATAGTGTGTCAGTTTTCCTAAACCCATAATAAAAAGCTGAGTTGTACATGTTCTTATCCAAGGAAGAAGTGACCATAGAAAAGAGCGGGTAACACCAGATTTAAAAAAAAAAAAAAAAAAATCCTTAGGAGTCCTACTTACAGTCCAGGAGAAAAAATAAACAACAAACCCCGATTTTCCCCGTTTTCTCGCTGTCCTTGTGTATGTATGGAGCAATGCCTTATCTCCTAACAGCTTTATGTAAACATGCAATTATAAAAAGACCTAAAGATCTTAATGCCAGTTACACAGTAAAAACTGGTTGGGTGAAAAACTTTAACTACTCCTTTTTCTTTTTGCAGAGTTGAAAGATCTACAGATCAAGTAATCAAACCAGTCAATGTGGAAGCTTTGTCCAAATGGGTTGGGAAAATACCTTCAGATGTTCTACAAGACATGCCAGTGATTGCACCAATGTTAGCAAAACTTGGCTACGATCCATATGCCAATCCACCAAATTATGGAAAGCCAGATCAAAAAGTTCTTGAAAACACACGACGGGTAAGGTATTTTTGTATATGAAATCTAGTTGGCTAAAAGTGCATCATTCATTATGAAAGAAATGTTGAGGAGATTTTGTTTTAATGTGGACTATAAAACAGTAATTTACTGTTTTCCTATCTGCAACCTTTAAAAGAGCTTTTGGAGGAGATTTTCATAGGCACTATGAATAGTTAGGCCTCCAACTCCCGTTGTCTTTTAATGTGACTTGGGTGCCTAACAGCCCATTATGCCTTTGAAAATGACCCCCTTCATTGCTACCTCCAACATACTGGCATGCAAGGAATTGTTAAAGAGCTTCAGTGCTGAGTATTATAGGAAAGTGTATAAGATTTACCATTGCAGATCAGACCATTGCTTCTGCCTCCCAATGGTTTTAGAGAAGGTGAATCACTCTCCCGCATCCCATGATGCACCTAGCTAACTGAGTATACTTAAGGGAAGGAGGAACATCCTTCCTGAACTCCTTAGGGACTCATCTGCAAAGCAGGAGAATGAAATACTCTTGCTTTAGGTTGCTCAGACACAAATATTCATGGATATAAATATTTCTAGCTCCTCTTTACAGCTCAAACTACAGAGATTTTTTTTTAAACTCTTGTTCTTCGTTAACCATTTGTTTCTGTATCATGGGAATCTATTGCTCTGTCAAGCTTGGAGTTGCTTTGTATCTTGTTTTCTTTTGCATTTTCCATGTCTCAGAGGCAGGAAAAAAGTTTCTTTTCTCCTTTCTCCTATTGGCACTTTATTGTTTTGTGGGATGAAGTGCAAAATGAAGATGCTCCTGAAACTCTCCAAGCTCAGTGGCAGAGATTTCCTTAGGTTGTCTGTCTCTCTCTCTCTCTCTCTCTGAGGGCTGTTTTTCCACAGAACTATTAGCCAACTTTTCCCTTTCGCTCCAGTTTGATCTGACTGGCAAGGAGTGGGGCTTTGGGGAAACACTTAAAGAAACATTAGGGAAGTCCAAAGCCTAACAGTAGATTCCCAGCTAATTCAATGGTTGAGCAGGGTCCTGTTTACAACATTAAGGGACTTGTAGAATCATAGAAATGTATAAGGGACTTATAGAATCAAGAGGTCATCAAGTCCAGGTCAGGGCACTGAAGCAGGACCAAGTAAACCTAGACCATTCCTGACGGGTGTTCATCCAACCTGTTCTTAAAAACCTCCAATGATGGGATTCCACAACCTCCCTTGAAAGCCTCTTCCAGAGTTTAATTACACTTAAGATAGAAAGGTTTTTCCTAGTAGCTATCCTAAATCTCTCTTGCTGCAGATTAAGCCCATTACTTCTTGTCTTATCTTCAGTGCATGTGGAGAACAATTGATTTCAGTCCTCTTTATATCTTCGATTCCTGTGTTTGGTTTCACTTTTTCCTCATGTAATTTCAACTCATCTTCTACATCATCATTTGGGAGTCTTCTCTTCAGCAAAAACGAGTCCTTTTGTGGCACCTTAGAGACTAACAAATTTATTTGGGCATAAGCCTTTGTGGGCTAGAACCCACTTCATCAGATGCATGGAGTGGAAAATACAGGAGCAGGTATAAATACATGAAAAGATGTGAGTTGCCTTACCAAGTGTGAGGTCAGTCTAACGAGACAATCCAATTAACAGCAGGATACCAAGGGAGAAAAAATAACCTCTGAAATGGTAATGAGTAGCCCATTTCAGACAGTTGACAGGAAGTTGTGAGTAACAATAGGGGGAAATTAGTATTGGGGAAACTTAGGTTTAGGTTTTGTAATGACCCAACCACTCCCAGTCTTTATTCAGGCCTAATCTGATGGTGTCCAGTTTGCAAATTAATTCCAGTTCTGCAGTTTCATGTTGGAGTCTGTTTTTGAAGTTTTTGTTGTTGAAGAATTGCCACTTTTAGGTCTGTTAGTGAGTGACCAGGGAGATTGAAGTGTTCTCCTATTGGTTTTTGAATGTTATGATTCCTGATGCCAGATTTGTGTCCATTTATTCTTGTGCGTAGAGACTGTTCAGATTTGGAGACAATTTATACCTTCAAGTCAGCGGGACTGCTATAGATACCCGCATGGCCCCACAGTATGCCACCATTTTTATGGCTGACTTAGAACAATGCTTCCTCAGCTCTCATCCCCGTATGCCCCTACTGTACTTGTGCTACGTTGATGACATCTTCATCATCTGCATCCCTGGGACCCATTTTCAAGAAAGCCAAACCAGCAATCCAGTCTCTCATCTGCCAACCTCCATCACAAAACAGGTGTATCCATCATATGATCCTTCTTGGGAACAGTGGTCCTATGGAAATCAAGAGGTAGAAATAAAACTAAGATGGATTCAATCAAGATGATTAATCTTTTCCCTTATAGTGCCTCTCATGATGTCACCAGATCTCTTTTCTGTAACACTCAGGTCTTTACGTGATGCCTGGGTCTGAGGTTTTGATTCAGACCCTACTTCCAGAGAACTTGGTTCTGGAACCCTTTAGACTGAAACTTTTTTGGCAAGTCCCTAGCAAAGGCCCTAAAGGACTCCTCAAACCTGAACAGAATTTCCAGTTTTGCCAATCCTTTTGATCCACCTGAGCCAGGAAATTCCTCACCAAAACTAACCGGAGAGACTCTTTCAATGAAGAATTTTTATTTATTTATTTATTTATTTATTTATTTTTGCAAGATAATGAAGCTCTTGTAGCTCAGGTGTACTATTTCCCCTTGCAGGTAGGCTCAAGAATTTTTGTCTTAAGTCTGAGTCAGTACCACTGTGAATGAACCTGCTCTCAAGCTTTTTAAAGAAGGAATTTCAAGAGCTATCCCTGCTGTCTCTATCTGTTAAAAAAATGAAGCTTTGTAGACTGTAGCAAAGTCATCTTTCTCTTGGAGCAATATTCCCAATGTCATCAAAAGAAACAGACACTGATTTCTGTTCTAGATTCTTCATGGCAATGAAAAGAACCTAAGGTTTTATCCATTCCATCCTCCATCTCTCAATATGCAAAACATACTTCAGAATGGAGATGTTGGCACTTTTGAACCAAGAAACAGACTCTCCTCCTACTCTCTGTCACTCAAGCTGTCTTATGCTTCACAAATCTCAAGAAGGCTTATCTTCCTGTTCCAGGATTTCCATGCCACCAACATTTACTACACTTCGCAATTGGGAATCACTTCTCAGTCCCACACAATGCCCTTTGACTTATCTCGTGGTCCTCCATTGATCATAAAAGTTGCTGGTCATCCCAGTACAAGCCTGAGATGTGGACTTCCAGGTCTACCACTAGCTGTATGACCTACTGATGAAGATACAATCCTATGTGGTGACAATTTGCCATGCCCTCTGACCCTACCTGTTCCTGGGACATCATGGATTCATAATGAACTATAGAATAGCTGAAGCTGTTGTTTAGGCTTGGAAGGATTAACTTTTTATCAGTAAATGACTGTAAACTTTGATTTCACCATACATATACAAACCAATGAAAAAATTTTCCACTGATGATTATCTAAATTTACAGATATGTGAAGTAAAAATAATGCTGCTTGAGACCTTATTAGAGTTTGATGTAAGGATATTTACTTGTGATGTTGACAATTTGTGTTTTAATGGTTATAAAGCTTTAACTTGTAGAATCCGTGTTTACTGTCATTAAATAATTGTCTGACCCCTCCATAGTTTCCCGCAACTGTGAAAATGTAAATAGGTAATAACAGAACAAACACGTAAAATTAGGGCTGTCAAGCAATTAAAAAGCTTAATCGCGCAATTTATTTAAATATTTTTGGATTTTTTCTACATTTTCAAATATATTGATTTCAGTTACAACACAGAATAAAAAGTGTACAGTGCTCACTTTATATTTATTTTTATTACAAGTATTTGCTCTATACAAAAAAAAGACATAGTATTTTTCAGTTCACCCAGTACAAAACGTGTAGTGCGGTCTCTTTAGCATTAAAGTTGAACTTACAAATGTAGAATTATGTACAAAAAATACATTTAAAAATAAAACAATGTGAAATTTTAGAGCCTGCAAGTCCACGCAGTCCTACTTCTTGTTCAGCCAGTCGCTCAGACATACAATTTGTTTACATTTGCAGGAGATAATGCTGCCCTCTTCTTGTTTACAGTGTCACCTGAAAGTGAGAACAGGTGTTCGCATGGCACTTTTGTAGCCAGCATCACAAGATATTTACCTGCCAGATGCGCTAAAGATTCATACGTCCCTTCATGCTTCAATCACCATTCCAGGGGACATGCATCCGTGCTGATGACAGGTTCTGCTTGATAATGATTCAAAGCAGTGCAGACCGATGCATGTTCTTTTTCATTATCTGAGTCAGATGCCACCAGCAGAAAGTTGATTTTCTTTTTTGGTGGTTTCCGCATCGGAGTGTTGCTCTTTTAAGACTTCTGAAAGCATGCTCCACACCTCAGCCCTCTCAGATTTTTGGAAGGGACTTCAGATGCTTAAACCTTGGGTTGAGTGCGGTAGCTATCTTTGGAAATCTCACATTGGTACCTTCTTTGCGTTTTGTGAAATCTGCGGTGAAAGTGTTCTTAAAATGAACAATATGTACAGGGGCATCATCCGAGACTGCTATAACATGAAATATATGTCAAAATGTGGGTAAAACAGAGCAGGGGACATACAGTTCTCCCCCAAGGAGTTAATTAAATTTTTGACTGATCACATTATTTTTTTAACAAGCGTCATCAGCATGGAAGCATGTCCTCTGAAGCACGAAGGGGCATATGAATATTTAGCATATCTGGTACGTAAATACCTTGCAATACTGATTACAAAAGTGCCATGCAAATGCCTGTTCTCACTTTCTGCTGACATTGTGAATAAGAAGAGGGCAGCATTATTTCCTGCAAATGTAAACAAACTTGTTTGTCTTAGCGATTGGCTGAAAAAGAAGTAGGACTGTAGGCTCTAAAATGTTACATTGTTTTGGTTTTTGAATACAGTTATGTAACAAAAAAAATCTACATTGGTAAATTGCACTTTCACGATAGAGAT